CACTTCGAACTGGCGCCCATGGCTGTCAAACGCTGCGCCCCGAATCAAAAGCAACTTTCACTTCTTTCGACGCTTGACCTAATGCAAGTGTCAGTACAAGCGTCGGTCATTCTGTGGGGTAGGAGCCTCGCAAGTGACCAAGTGGTATTTCGCACGTTTCCGTGCTTCATTGACAAATTTTTGAATAAACAACGCGTTCTGATGCGGTTTTGGCGGTCGTGGCCTCCAAAGCCTTGACCACGGTCCCCAATCCGCTTGAAATCGACATTAATGAAGCAATGGGGATATGCCATATGCGATGCGAGACTATGGCTGCGAAACCGTACAAGCAGTGCGATGCACAACCAAGTCGTCCGCAAACGTAATAACATTTGTCTACAATGTGCGTCTGTATGCAGCTAGCAGGCGTTTGGGGAAGTTGTGACTTGGGTGGGAGCTTCCTTTTAGCCCGACTTTCGCCGCATCCTTGACGCAATCAAACTCAACGTTTTCCCCAAATCGAAATCGTTCACCCCCGTCGCAGGCGCTCTTCCGGATCGTTCAAGATGAGGGCCCACGGCTGCCCGCGGGAGCCAGCGAGGCGCTTCGTGATTTCCTCCTCCAGTGCTTCAACCGTGAGGCAGTCCTCCGCGCCGGGGCCAAGAGCCTACTCTGTCATGCATGGCTCCAACGCGCGCCTGAACGAACTCTTCGCGTGTTGTCCGCGTCAGCTGCTCAGGGAGTCTGGAGTATTACGCGCCACCCGATTACGATGCGACGTGGCACGACCGCGCTGCAGGTGCTCATGATGTCGATGCAAGTCAGGATTGTTCAGGAGGAGCCATTGTTCGTGTGCGGAGCGCACCATTCATCCGCGGCAGCGCTGTCGTGTCATCTTCCATCGGAATCGCAGGAGAGGACTGCAGCGCACACTGCCTCACGTCTAATGCGCATTCGGACGCAGACCCCATGCTAGACACAACGCGGCACGGCGACGGTGCAGTGCGGTCACTCGATGCGTGCGACTCCGCGTATTCCCTTGGGCTAAAGTCTGATGTATCAGGCCTTCTCAGAATTCCTACGCCTTCGACCGTTTACTGAGGCCGCAAAGAGTGACCAAAACTTTGACTCGTTTCACTTGCAGTCCTCGTCAGGGAGAACCAAGCCGTCCAAGGGTTCAAGGGTCCTGGGGTGTCACTACTCTCAGACAGCCAGTCTTGGGATGTCAAAAATCTCTTGCGCATCTCGGTGTAGACTGGCTGCGGGAAAAATGAAAGATGAGAATCATGCGCGTCGATGCCTGTGACTACGCGCCCCTCAGATCCAGGGGGTTACGGCTGATTCTGTCGGACTATGTGTCTGAGCTCCTGAATACACAAGGTCTCGGTTTTCACACGGGGTTCGATACCTCCTGCAGCATGTGTCGCACGGACTCAGATCCACATTCAGTGGAAGTCACGGTTATGAATATTCAGTGAAGGTCGATCATGCCCTATTTCCCCCTGTCGGAACCTGTTTTCAAGCCCTTGAAGCCACGTCCAGCTAGTTGCAGAGGATCCAGAGCACAATCACTTTAGGTATCGCGAAGCCGATGACGAGGATGTCGTGGCTGGTCTCCTCACTGATGATCGCGGCACGAATGCAACTTGCCCCGAAGATATCGGGCGCACGCGGGACGGCTTGAGTCTCTCCGGGCGAGACGCATCGTCCGCGATAGACGTGATGGGCGTATCGGGCTGCAACGGCGCCGAGGCGTCGCCTCTGAGCCTGCGACGGTGTGGACTGCTGCGTCCCGACGAGTGCAAACCCATGCGGACCATCTTTCTTAGGTCTAGCTCGCTCTGCAGCGAGGTTACCTGGGACACAGACCACTGGGACTCAGACTTTGAGATGAATGGTACGCTTCGCGTTATCGCAGGCGTTGAGCACCGCGCATCCGCCCAACCCGACAAGGACCACCTCAGCGACCCGTTCGCCTTTGGCTTTCTCGAAGCATAACGCAGAGCGGTGCCCGACAACCTCAACCCTCGATAGCTGAGTCGCCTTCCGCTGTAGGATGACCTCGATTTCATCCACAATGACGACCGTGACCGC